TGCAAGGCCATTTCTGGGCTCCCCATTCTGTTCCCTTTGTCCATTTGTCCTGCACCAGTATCATGCTGTCCAGGTTATCACATCTTTAAAATAAGTTGGGAACACTGGTCTTCAACAGTAGTCTTCTATAGAAGTGACTTAGCTATTTCTGCATGTAAGTTTCATGTAAGTTTATCTAATTTTGTAAGGAAAAAATAGCATTATGCTTAGAATTATAACAAATCTATGGACTAATTTGGGGAAGATTGACATTTTTACAAGATCCACTCTTCCTGCTCATGAATAGGAAAACTGTGGTGGGCAGAATTCTAAGGTGACCCAGTGACCCTCACCCTAGTACAGTCTCCTCCTGTTGGGTGTGGGCGAACCTGTGACTGTGATACAGCAGTTGCTGTGGGGTTGGATGATGTTCTCTGGCACAGTTGACTTTCATAAAAGGAAAGTATGTTGGTGGGCCTGACCTAATCAGATGACCTGTAAAAAGCCTGAGGCTCTTCCTGAAGAAGAGAGTCAACGAGTGAGGGGGATTCACTTTGAAATAGGTTCTCTGTTGCTGATTTGGGGGCCATGTGGCAATGAGTACAGGCGGCCTCTAGTTCCTAAGAACAGCCCCCAGCTGATAGCCAGCAAGGAAGCGGAGATCTCAGTCCTACAACCGCAAGGAAGTGAATTCAGCCCACAACTAAACAAGCACGGAAGTGGGCTCCTCCTTGAAGAATCCAGAAGGAATGCAGCCTGGCCAAGGCCTTGAGCAGAAGACCCAGCTAGGCCGTGCCTGGACTTCCGACCTGCAGAGCTGTGAGCTAGTTAGTGGGGACGGGGTTGGGGGGTTAGGTTGCTATGTGACAATCTGATACACAGCAGTAGGAAACTGATGCAGTCTCTGTTCAAGTCCATAATCGTGGATTTTAATGAAATTCTACAGTTTTCTTATAAAGGCCTTGAACATCTCTTGTCCAATTTATTTTTAAGGATCTTGAAGATTTTACTTTTACGTAGATGGTATCTTTAATGATGTCTTTTAAAACAAACTTAGGAGTTTTATTGCTAGTCTTTAGAAAAACAATTTCAGTATATTAATCTTATAACAAGCCATTTTGTTGGATTCTTACTACGTTTAAGAATTTTGGCTTTTCTGTATCTACATAAACAATCATATTATTTATGAATAGAGTTACATTGCTTCTAATGCTATTTATTGACATACTTAGTATTAATGAGCCAGCCAGTTTCTCCAGTAAAATGTAGATTTTGCTGTTCTTAATTTTAAAGGGACTGATAGGACCATCTCCCATCTGGAAAGCTCTCTCCTGGAGGTTTTTGGTCAGAGAGTGTCCACAGACCACCCAGCTGTGGGGGGAGGGCACCTCGGGGGGCGGGCAAGGGTGGGGGTGGCAGCAGCACTAGGAGACTGGTTATTCAGAGGGCAAGTGACCAAGCGAGTGCACAGATTAAGGAGAATGGAAATTATTCAGAGAAAAGTGCTCACAGCTATGGAAAGAGAGAAATCAGAGAAATTGGTTGAAATCGGAGGTATTGGTGTAAACTCATAGTTGTCAATACAATAGACAGACAGACAGACAGACAGACAGACAGACAGCTGTGTGCACATACTCCCTCGCTCTGTCCACCAAGGGAACCTGGGTGCAGTGACACCTCAACAGCAGTGAGCACACCTCCAGTCCACATCTTGGTTCCCAGATCCTCTTCTCACTCACAGGAACAGGGGTCCTTGGGAAAATGGCTCATTTCACAGCTGGAGCAGAGAAGGTGCAAGGTGAACCTGGAGCATCTTTTCATGCCAGAAAGCAAAGAAACAGTCGAAGGACGGCAGGCGCATAGCCAACAGACACAAAGCCTAGAGGAAGGCCTTCCCCCGGCCAAGTCAGGACAATCTGAGCAAGAAACAAAATCTGGTAACAGACTTAATCCACTGAATAAAAGGAACCATGATGCACACAGACAGAAACAGGGAGGGAGGGAGGAAGCTGGGTGAGAAACGGGACACTCAGTGTCACAGCACCTCCCCATTCACTCATTAGGGAGGAGGAGTCACTTCACACTGGCGGCCTGGCGGCCACCACCCTAACCAAGTGACAAGAGTAGACAGCAGCCATGCGACAAACTGAAATTACACACCACCTGCCAGGATGTACTTCTACGATATTCCTGCAAAGACGGCAGAAGGCGCAGCTCAGTGAGGAAACCTCACATCAACCCAATGTGGGAGCCACTCCACACCATCCCTGGCTGGTCTTCAAGCGTCAAGGTCACCTGTCCTGGGAGATTACAGACCCGACCTCCATCAGGAGGATCACAGGGCCCTCACTGGCGAGACAACTACGTGTTAATGCAGCCCAGTCAGTCCCAGCCCTTCCCGGAAGATGGCACCGGGGCTGGGGACGAGCTCACAGCAGAGGCTCCAGGCAGCTGCCGGCCAGAGCAGGGCCAGGTAGGAAGTGAGACCCTCCCCACGTGGGGGGCTGCACGTGCCAGCTGGACGGGACTCAGGCCTCCCAGGCAGGTGGGGGGCTTTGGTGCCCACCCAGGTCCCTGCCTCGCCCACGCACCCAACTCCTGGCCCATCAATGACTCGGACCCAGGGCCTGCTTCTCTCTGGTGTGTGTGGCCCCGAGCCCGAGGTCCAGGCCGTGGGCACCCACAACACCCCCAACCCAAGGGTGCCCAGTTGTTGCCTGACAAGCCCACCCTTCCACTCTAGCCACTTTCCCGGGTGGGTGCCAGCCCCACCCCTCACCCCCGGGCCTGGCCCCTCCAACAGACCAGCCGCCTCCACCCCACTTCCTGCTGACACCTAGGCCAGGGCTCCCCAGTTTGTGGAGACACAGTCCCCTCCTCGCACCCTGACCCAGGCCACAGGGCTCCTCCGGCCACAGCTGCCCCTGCTCACTTCCTCCCGCCTCCATCAGGGCTCCAGGTGTCCCCAACCCCTGCTGCTCTGCTGGCTGACTCCAGGGTCCTGCAGGGCTGAGGCCCCCTGTGCCGCACACCCAGCCAGGGTGCAGAGGGGCGACCAGAGCCGCTGCAGCCCAGAAGACAACAGGGCACCCCAGCAGGGCTGCAGGGCTATATTTAGATTCGAGCATGCTTTCTTTCTCAAGTGCATGTTCTGCGCAGCCGTGGTGGCCCCTGAGAAACAGCACCAAGCCGTGGGACGGGGCACAGCAGGAGCCCTGCACACCAGGCGACCCCCACCAGCCCTGCTCCCCTTAACCATCAGCCGAGCCCCAGCTCAGCCTTGAGTTCAGGCCTAGTTCTCGCTCGGAGGCTCGGGAGCTGACATCATTTGACGTAGGGAACTGGCATAGGACCGCGCGCCCCCAGCCATGGCCAGAAGGTAGCAGCACCGCAGGCACGGCCTTCGGTCATCCCTCCGAGGGCAGCGCCAGCCTCTCTGAGCAGCACCATCTCCCAGAGCCCGGCGCGGGTTGTCCGGAACGCTCTTCTGCGTATCAGCAAAGTCAGATGGGGCTTCTTTGCACACAAGCCTCGGGACGGGAAGGCTGTGGACCCTCAGAACTGGGACCCGCATGAGGGCAGGGCAGAGGGCCAACGTCCTAGCTGGCAGTCGCCCACCAGAACCAGGCTCACTCCAGCGGGACCAGCGAGGCCGGGCTCCCAGCCTCAGAGCACAAGTGGGCCACAGAGGAAGCAGCCCTCCAGCGGGCCTGGGGGAAGCAGTGAGCAATCCCTGGGGGTCACAGGGTCCAGCTTCCATTAAGTGGGGTCAACCGAACCTAAACCCGCTATTAGGGGCGCTCAGACCTTGGGGGTGGGGCGGAAACTGCCAGCACGGAGAGGACCAGGTGGGCCACACCCTTGTCCCCAGAAAGAGGAGAGGCCTGCCAGGGCATACTGGGTATAGACTTCTAACCTGCTGCTCCATGCGGGCCTCCCCACCCAAGACCAGCCTTCCAGGCAGGCAGCCTGCAGAGGGGGCAGGTCTGGGAGAGTCCTCACTACCCACCAAAGGTTGCCCACACCTGAACAATACCCGATAAATGCTCAGAATTTCAGATAAACTCCGGGATCAGAAAGCACAATGTCCCTGGATACACAAAACATTACCAGGAGTTAGAAAACCCCAAGCCAGCACTAGGGTTTCATGACATCTTGGAAGTTTTTTGTGTTTTCAGTTAAACTTTCATCTAATCCCATTTCCCAGACAAGCTGGGGAAGACTGAGGTCACTTCCCGCAGTGGAGTCAGCACCTGGGCCCTTCCTTCCCTGTCAGTGCTCACAGCAGACATCACTAATAGATCCCAGCACTCCTTTCCATGAAGATTCCAAGCCTTCCCAATAGAACTTCCCAGAGCTACCACCAGTCACTGAGTGCACTAGAAATGAGGGAACCATTTGTCAGTCTGGATCTGTAGTGGATCAATGAGCAATGAGGCTGCTTCCCCCTCCTCCCCACCACAACCCCCTCTGCCCCACACCCTGAGGACAAAGTAGGGCCACTGCTGACTTACATGTGCCTTTATGCAAATTAGAAAAAGGTGTTCCTCGCCTCGAGTAGACAGCCAGTGCTGGGACACACTCTTACAGCCAGGTCCCCCGTGCAGTGCACAACCTAAACAACCATACCTGGTGTAGTGTAAACCCTGACAGTTGTTTTCTCTTTTCTGTCGTGCAAGTGCCTGTTTTAAGCCTCAGTGGTGGAGGCATCCACTTCAGAGAGGGCTATCTCGAGAAGCCCTTTGCCAGCCACTCAATTAGATACAGATTCAGGCCGCCTTCCTCCACTGAGCGCCTTCGTTTTAGAGATCGTGGCTGATTTTGGTAACTGACCACTTGGGCCACTTCCTTATTTCATTCCCTCATTTTTCAATTCCCACTCTTATATTTTCAATTCACAAATAAAGAGTGAGCCTCAAAAACCCTAAGCCCCCTCGATCTCAATAAAAACAGAACCCAAGGCCCATGCTCTCTACCAGTGACCTCGCGGTGCAGTCCCAGGGTGCTGCATAACTGCCAGCTCTTGTAAGTAACAAACCTTTATTTTTTCAGTTTCCTGATAGCTGTTGCTGAAAGGCATCTTGCAATCATTGTAAAAACCCCAGGGCTGGTCCAACCACAACTCTGGTCCTGACAGGCTGGGCCCCGGCAGCCCCAGTCCAGAGGCACATACGGAGCAGGCTGTGTCCGAGTAAGGGTGACAAGCCCATCCTTTGCAAGACTTACTGATGAAGATGACTGCCACTCGGACTCGTAAGAAACACAGCCCATCACACTCCTACAACCCAGAAAACAGTAAAACACACTCCAGATTCTCATCGTGTGAAGCCAGGACCCCAAGCTTAACGCCCCAGAAAGCTGCCGGTCGGCTTGTGCAGGCCTCATGTGGGCCTCCGGTCCCTGAGGGCCACCAGCAGTGAAGGCACCACGGCAATCACAGGGCAGGCACGGAAGGTCGCTGTGTCTTGCTTTTCAGACTGTCTGAAAGGTCCCTGTGGAGTCACCCTCTTTCCACACTTAGAAAAGCAAGTCTCATGGAAACAGGTGACCAAGAAAGGTGGCGTGGATGGCGCCCGAAGCTGTGGGGGTGATTCTGCTCGGGAGCAAACCAGGGCCTGCGTTCCATCCCGGCCTCAGGTGCACCCAGTGGTTCTGTCCAAGGGAAAGTCTCTCTTTGGGGCCGCCGCCCGCCTCCTCCCATGGTCGCTGTCTGTCCCGAGGCCGCATCGCCGCCCCCGCTGGGGGGGCGCACCAGGATGTCACCTGCACAGCTGCAGGTGTGGGTGATGGCTCAGTTTCTCCATCAGCTCCTCCTCCGTGGGCTCCTCCAGGACATCCCTGCGGGACCGGGGAGAGGGTGGACGGAGCGCTCCGGAGAGAGAAAGGCCCTGGGCACGTCCAGGTGAGCAGAACTGACTGAGAAGCCTCATCAGAGCCCCGGAAGAGGAGCGCCCCCGAATCACCCCACACACGAGCTGAGTGGACGTAGTGGGGACTGGGGACACAGGGAGGACTCAGGTCCACCTCTGGGATGTTTACACGGTGTCCTTTGGAGCCTGGGAGAACAGCTCTCCACACAGGCTGCACCGACACACAGCAAATGCTCAGGGAGGAAAGTCTGGGCCACCTCTGGGACGACTGTCACTTTTCTGTTCCAATAGAGGAACAGTTTCAAAGTTACCATGGAGAAGAGAGGGGCAAGGTTTCCTCGGGCCACCTGTCTACATCCAGGAACCTGAGAATGCTTCCTTAAACATGCGTACCGGAGAGCAAGACAGGGTTTCCAGCCCAACAGCAGGAGCAGAGGCAGCCCCGGACCCTGGTCCCAGCTCGAGGCTCAGCAGGAGGGGGAGGGACAAGGTGCCTGGGGCCCACGGGGAGCACCTGCCCACTGCCTCCCTACCTCTCCATCCTCCCACCCAGGCCCCACCTTCCCCATCCACGCACCTGAACAAGAGCTCCACCGTCATCTGAGAGGTGGCCTCCGAGTCCCCTGTGAGGGACTGCAGGTGACTGCGGCGGTCCCACTTGTGAAGGAAGTTCTGGCAAGAGGCAGGGAGGGACACGGGTGTGGGGCCTGCACGGGACCAGCCTTGTCCCCTCCCCGACCCCTCCAGTGTTGGCCTGGCTGAGCAGTTCAGCCTGGACACTGGGATCCAGGGCCCAGCAGGGCCACCAGTTCCTACAGGACCGGGCCTCCTCCAGCTCCACCCCCAGGAGCCAAGAACCCATGCAGGTCAAAGGTTAAGAGCACCCCAAGAGGCCCCCAGCAGCAGGACGAGCAGCACTGAGCCCCAGGGGAGGACAGAGCCTGAACCCAGGGCCGCCTCAGAAGCACGGCCTCTCCAGGCCGAGTCCCAGGTGGGCCAGCCGGCAGCCCACCTCGTGCCCATCCCCAGTGGAAACTCCTGGTGAGAACAGGAGGGGCGGGGGGTCTCCAATACCTCCAGAATCAGAGCCAGAAACAGGTTGACCCAGATGACAGATGACACCAGCCACCACAGCACGAAATAGACCTTCGACCACCTGCAGAGGACAAGGAGGAGGCCCCCCGTGGCCGCCATGAGCAAGTGCACTGCTCTCCTGGACCCGTGGCTCGTCCCGCAGCACAGCCAGCGAGAGGCGGTTCTGGGACTCGAACCCAGGACCAGCGCTGGGGCCAATCTGAGCTCTCCAAGCTCCAGGCTGAACCCCTCCATCCCAGGAACCCCACTGTCATAGGTCCCCAAGAAGCCATCTGCTCCTCCCCACCCCCCGGCGATCCCCGGGAGGCGTAGGCCCAGACGCACACCCTGCACAGAGCCGCAGTCGGGCGCCCTGCGCTGTGCCGGGGCCGGTGTGAGGGGCGCCAGGACAGGGTCACTCACGGGCCCGCGTAGCGCCGGAAGGCGTCCAGGAACACCTGCCAGTTGTTCACAACCATCACGTTCCACAGAGTGACCAGGGCAGCCTGCGGGCAGCAGACACAGGGTCCGGGAGGCCGCGGGAGGCAGGGGGTGGGGGCGCCAAGGAGTGGAGGGGAAGCAGCGCAGGACTCACAGCAAAGTCGTCAAAGTTGTTGGCCCAGTACTCCAGCTGCTCGAAGCTCCCGCAGGGCGCTGAGCCGTTGACAGGGGCCAGGCTGCGGGGCACAGCCGGCGTCAGTGTGGAGGCAGGGCAGGACACACACCTGGGCGCCCTCCCACTGCCGCAGCCCCTGCACAACGTGGAACCCATCTGGGCCCCTGAGAAAGTGTGGGGGAAAATGGAAATGCCTCCGACCTAGGAGCTGCTGTGAGGGCAGCCAGGGGCGAGCGTGGGGACACACACGAGACTGACCTTCCCCGCCAGCGGCCAGTGCGGGGGCCTCTCGGCCCTACAGTTCAGGCCTGGCGCTGGACGCCCCGAGCCAGCGGGCAGCCTGGCCTGCAGGTCCAGAAAGGGGCACGGGGTGGGGGCTCTGTGCAGCCACGGGAAACGCCCTCAGTACAGATCCCAGGGAGGGATTCTGGGGGGGAGGGGAGGGAGGGGAGGAGAGGAAAAGTGGGGGCTGAAAGGAAGAAAGAGGAACCAGGAGGCCCCCCCACCACTGAGGCCTCACCCCGATCCTGGTGCCCCTAGAGGCACCCCCTTTGGCGTTTCTAAGCCCCATCTCACCTGCTATTTCCAGGAGCCACAACAACGCCTCGGAACAGGCTGATGCCAACGATGGCGAAGACGTAGTAGACCACCTGGGGAGGCAGGCCGGGCCCGTCGGCACCCCCACGGGTGGGCCCGCAAAGCCAGGCTAGGCCAGCGAGGGCCGCGCGCAGCAGGGACTCCCAGCCCTGGATGCTGCCCCTCGACTGTGGGCACCACCCGCCTCCCTGGGGACACTGGGGCTCTGGGGACAGAGGCAGGAGCTGCTGCTGGGGGAGCCCCAAAGATAAGCCGGGCTCCCAGGAATAAGAACAGAGACCAGCCAAGGGAGCTGAGGTTGTCCACCACAACTCCGGAGAGAACAGGCAGCCAGGGCCAGGGAAAGGCTGGGAAGAAGGCGCCCCAGGGGAGCAGGGGGCGGGCGGGAACTGGCCCTGTCCCTCGGGGACCCGCCACTCTCCCCACATCCACCAGGAGGCGTCCAAGGCGCACCACTAGGCCGCCTTGTGCCACAGTCAGAGAAGGGGCTGCTGCCCACCCTGACCTGTCCCTGCCCGGGGGGGGGGTGCACACCCCAGGCTAACCTAGCACCCCTTCTGGGCTTCAGTTTTCTCCACTGTACAAATATGGGCCTGAAGCAAGGCTGCAACTCTCACATCCTACAGGCCCAGAGCACACGTGGGACCCCTCCTGGGGGGCTCCCCACCCACCTCGGTGTCCAAACCAAAAGACAAAAACGCCAGGGGTGGCATCATCAATGCAACAGGGCTTTCTCTGTCACCTTCTCCCCTGCCCACCACGCCCCCTGCTCCCAGGGCCCTGCACCGCCTGGGCCACGGGGTAGAGCAGGCAGCAGCTCTGGGAAGGCTGGCCCGGGGGAGGAGCGGGGGACACCATGGCTCTCTCTCAGCAAAAGTGGCTGCAGCTCCCAAAATCCCTCTGGGCAAGGACAGTCGACCAAACCCTGTCTGGGGTCCCTGTGGGCTCAGGGGGTCCCTGGTGCCTTTCAGATTTTTCATCCTCTCAATGTGGCCCACAGCCCAGAAAACACGTGGGATTCAGCAGTGACCAGCAGGAACTCTGGTCCGGAAAGAGAGTGTGGTCAGGTCAGTGCCTCCAACCAGACCAGCCCTGAAGTTCTCTCTCTGGCTTGCCCTATGCTTCCTGGGCCTGGGTCACCTGCTGCGGCCCGAACAAAGGGACCCTCTTTCCTGAGGCCACCAGCCAGCCAGCCACCATCAGCCTCCAGCAGAGCTCTGGCTCCCCTATCCAACAGCAGCCAAGCCCCGCTCCCACCCTCAACCATCAGTGAGGACGCCAGACTCACCACCAGGATCCCACCAAAAGCCCGCATGTTTTTGATCAGGTCCATGATGGTACTGGCCACCACAGCCATCAGCTGAGACAGAGAGAGCACAGCCCGAGTCCTCCGGGTCCCACGGAGGTGACTCCAACCCTGCCCCCTGCCCAACCCTGACCCAGAAAGGCAGGATGGGACCAGTGACTTCCCAACCTGTACACACACACCCTCGGCCACCACACATACCTCACCTGTCCACACACCCACGGCCACCCACACACAGCTCGGCAGGAAGGACAGACGTGCACAGGAGGACCTGACGCTCAGAAAGGGGTCTAATGCCCTCGGTTTCCTTTCTCCTGAAAAGGTCTTAGGACAGCAGCTCTGCCTCTGTGCCAGGCGGGAGCCGGGCCTGACACCCCGACCCTCCAACCCCCCTCCCTCCAGGTGTTGCTCCTGGTGGGAACAAGAAGGGAAACTGAGGCTCACAGGTGGTCACAAGCCACCATACTCCTGCACTGGGGGTCCCAGCAGGCAGCATGAGCAGCCACTGCAAGTCCGAGGCAAAGGCATTTCAGGGACCTCAGGACGCCTGGGAACGTACTGCAGCCCCGCCCCTCACAAAGGCCAGGGACCCCAAGGAGCACGAAGCCACCCTGCCACCAGCCAAGGGGCCTCCCCCGGGTCCAGCCCAAACAAGCCCCTCTCCTGGCGACATGGCAGTGCAGCCGGCGGTACCTTCATGCTGGGGATGATGCGCAGGAAGCGGAAGACGAGGAGCATGTTCACCAGCCGCGTCATGTCCCACAGAGACAGCAGCCCCAGCATCTCCGGCTTCCTGGGGGGAGGACACACGAACCGGCGGGTTGGGGGAGGCTGGGAGGTGGGCAAGAAGACAGGAGATGTGTGGTCCAGAGAAAGAGACAGAGAGACAGAGACGCAGAGAGAGCGACAGAGAGTGACGGGAACTCGCCCCGCAGCCGACACCAACCAGAAAAGCGCCATCAAGACCAGAGGGCGCCGGAGCCACCCACACCTGCAGCCCACGGGCAGCACAGTCACAGGGCACAGCCCCGCACAGGGATGCAGGGCCAGCTGACCCCCATCTCAACAGGAGGACGCTGAGCTTCTGGACACCCAGCTCAGGTCCCAGCAGAGCTGGGAGAGACCTGGCCCCTGACCCCTGCCCTAACCTGTCCCCCACCCCTGGGCCCTGACGCCCGACCCGTGGTGTCCCTCATGGCCTTTCCCTTCTCATTTCTATTTAAACTTAAACCCACTCTCCCCCAAAATTTCCCGCCGACGAAAGAGCAGTGCGGGTTTCCAGCGCACTTTAGAAACACAGCTGCCAGCACCACTGCCCCGGGACGCAGCCCAGGGCTGAGGCCGCCCACCCCGCCGGTCTCCCCAGCACGCACCCTCCCGGCCGCTCCCGGGAGCCGGCCCTGACCCAGCGGCAGGAGTCTTTCAGCCCCGCCTCCCTCTCAAGCAACTCCCAGCTGCTCCCGTGAGGAAGGCAGCCCAACAGAGGTCTCAAGAGACCAGAGACCTTCCCCGAGGGCCCGAGATCAGCACACGGGCTCGCTGGGGCAGCTGTACTCCCAACAGCAGGACTCCGAAGCTGCCACAGCCACGCTGCGAGGTGCCCTGGGACCCCTGGCCGGATGTCCATCCCCCTGCACGGCCACAACCAGGGGCAGCAGGGCTCGAACAACAGTGTGAATTCAGCGAGCCCTGGCCGGTCCCCACCACCTACAGGGAGGGGAACCGACACCCGGAGTAGGAGGGGATGACCCCAGGTCGCCTCGGCCCCTGGCACACCTGGTGGGGGGCTGAGCCCGTGAACTCTGTGGGACACCCCCGCAGCCCCCGTCCCAGCTCTGAGAACGCCATTCTCCTGAAGGCGAGCTATGAAGCGTTAAAGAGAGACGACTCCCCGAGAACGATGACGAGGGGTTGCCCCCCACAGGCCTCAAGGGGCAGGCGCCACGGCCGCCCCCTAACAGACCCGCACCTGCCCAGCACGCACACCCTCCCCCGGGCGCTAGACAGGGCGCGGGTGCTGGGGCCTCCCCGGGACCTCCACAGTCACATACCAGCCCGGGTGAGGGAATCGGTACACAGCCAGAGTGGAGATCTCCAAAACCTTTAATCACAAAAGAAAAGAAGCTCGCTACGGCAAGGCTCACTGAAGCCAGCATCTAACACACTGTCCCCAGAGGGGGTTCTGGGGAGAAGTCAGAGCTGGTCCCATCCCCACGGATGGTGCCATGTGGGGACATCCCAGAGCTGAGAAAGACAAGCTGGCCCCCGGAGTCGGGGCTCGGGGAAGGCCGGCAGAGTCCCGGGCATGGGTGAAGCTACTTGGTGGAAGGATGGATCGAGAGGCCCCTCTGTCAGGCATCTCCCTCCTGCTCCTGTGGGCCCACAGCTCTAATCCATCAAATATGAACCTGTGCTGTACCACTATCGCTGCTGTGACACACACCGGGCGCGACCCCTCACTCCCCTGGGCTCTGGGGAAGAGATTTTCCCGAGACCCCGGGTGCCTGAGACCCCCTGCCCCTCCCTCATCAAGGCCCCACAGTCCTCAGGCTCCTGCCGGGCCTCCCTCGGGGGCCGGGAGAGGCAGCCTGCCCCTAACAACGCGCAGATGCAGGAGACATCGCCTCCCGTGCCCCCCACAGCGGCCTGCCAAGCCGCTCGGCCAGGGGACACCAGCCCCCCGTCACTAGAGGCAGGAGCCCCAGTCCCCCCAGGCCCTGGCACCCAGCACACCCCCTGCCCGAGAGGCCACGCTTCGGCCCATCTCAGACTTTACCAGCAGGACGACAGTGAGGAGCCCGTCAAACACGTTGCTGGGGTGTGCCAGGTACCCCCGCAGGCCCAGAGCCAGCACCTTGAGCAGCAGCTCCAGCAGATAGTACAGGATGAAGACGAAGTTGAGAATCTGAAAGGGAAACGAGGTGCCCGGCACTCAGTCCCCGTGCTGCCCAGCTCCCCGACCTCCCCCACCTGCAACAGGGCCTAGGCGGGAGCCACATGGCCATGGGACCCACCTGCGGCACATGGTAGGACCCACCACAGGAACTGGACATGGTGCAGGAGACATCCTTTCCCACTGGGGGGCCACATCACTCTCTCCTCCCACCTCTCTGCTGCTCCTTGGGCCCCACAGGGATGCTCTTCCTGAGCCCCCACCCCTCCAGCACCCCTTCGCGCTCCATACCCTCTCCTCAGGGGACCTGTACCCCACGCACGGCTTCAATGACAATTTGCACATCTGCACGCCTGCAGTCACACCTATTGCCCCAGGTGCCAGCAGACCGCTCTCTACAGGACCCTCCCTCTGCCGCACCCTACACACTGCCTGGCTCACCAGGGGCTCTGCGCGGGCTCCCCACCTGCACCAGCCTCCCGCAGCCAGCCCCCCTCCCCCTGCTACAGCCAGCACCCCAGGCCCTGGGGCACCTAGGGACAAACGACCCACTTCGTACTGCAAAAGCCCTGCCTCCCATGGGCCTGGAGCCCCAGGTGGGGAGGCTGTGCCCCCTACTCCTCTAACTCCATCACCCGGCGAGGGCCCGACGGCGAGCGCACAGAGCTCACCCCCAGCACGAAGTCGTCCCGGTCCTCGGGCGGCACATCTGCATCCAACACCAGGAACACCTGCGGAGCCGGAGCGGAGGGCAGTCAGCCACCAGGAAGGGCAGGTGTGAGAGCTGGGGGGAGGGGGCACCACACTCACACAGATGGTCACGAGGTTGCCAAGGGCCATGAAGTTGCCCAGGTAGTCGAAGTAGCGGTGGCTGAAGACGAACTGAGCACTCCGCAGAAACGGAGACCGGTACTCGGGCCGCAGCGGGGGCTGGGGAGGGAACACACACGCTCAGAAACGGGCGGGGGCGGCCGTGGCCGTGGCCGTGGGGGCCCAACGATGCCCGTGCCCCTGGTTCTGGGAGTTGAATTTTCCTGCCTTAATGCCCAGCCCAGGCCACCCAGCCTAAGGAATCATCTCAAACACGGGGAGTTTATGCACCAGGATACTCATCACAGTCGTCTTTACAACCCCGAGAGGAGCAAACAACCCACACAGCCCTGACGCCGTCAGTAAACCATGCCGGACTGTCACACGCCATCGTCAGCATAGGTGAGGTGTCCCCACGGCATGAAAGTGTCCCATGAAAATGCACACATAGATCATATGCTAAAAACCATGAAAACCTGGCACGGAACAGAGGTAGCTCACACACTGTGACCAGGCTGGAGTGGAGAACAAAGGAGGGCCACTGGGCAGCAAACGCTAGTGTGAAGACACTCATCAGACCCAGCGCTCCCGTGCTGCGCGCCTGCAAGACACTGCCGCGTGCACGCGAGGACAGAGCCACAGGGCGGCCACCGTGGCGTGAGACGGACCTGCATCTGCAACATCCCAGGCAGGGGCCACTCACTACACGTGGCCACTCAATCTGAACGCAAACCCCATCCAGTTAAACACTCAGCTCCTCTGCCACAATAGCCACATCTCAAGCTCAACAGCCAGGCATGACCCACAGCTACCAGGACAGACAGGCAGACAGAGGACACTTCATCCTCAGGGAAAGCTCCACAGAGTTGGACAGACCTATGACCTGTTACCAAGCGAAAAAGAGGAAGCTGCAGAGTGGAAATCACAGCAACTCATGTACACGTCAAAGGAACACGAGTGCTTCCTCGAGGACACGCCTGCACCTGCATCTGCACGTGGACAAGTCTGGGAGGAAACAAACTGAACAGGGCGGCTGTTCAGAGCAGGACCTGAACTGGCCGTGCGAGTTTTCAACCCGCTGCCTCCCAGCTCCCCATTCACCCTTCCACACCCAAAGGAGCCCCCTCGGCATCTCATCCACCGTGAGCATGCGGTCAAGCCTTCTCAGCATAGGACCACAGAGGGACGCTGCTGGAGGGAGGGGTCCTCCTGGGATTCCCAGCTCCCACGTGGTGGCCCGGCAGCCCAGGGTGCGAGGGTGAGGGACATCGTGCAGGCC